GTTAGCAAATTTGAAAAAAGAAAATATGAAAACTGATCAATTCGGTACCCCCTAATCGAATCCACATAGAAAATACATTATAACGAAAAGTTCAAAAAAAAATAAAAAAAAAAATACATTATAACGCTGTCGATCAGTTCTTGCATGGACCGAATGGAAACTAGAAACCGAAAAATTAACTAGAAACTGAAAAAAAAATGGTTCGACTGGTTTTGTTCCATTTGACTCGGTCTATAATCGCTAGTAAGGTATAAGTATTTTGTTTTTTTTTTTAAATGTCGAAACAAAAGTTCTTTTAATTTGTTGGAGAATAAAATTATTGTTTTTTTCTTTTCTTTTGTTTATTTCTTCATCTATTAGTCAAGTATTAATCATTGAAATATTCCGAAATCAAATAAAATCTAATTATTCTGTGATTGTTTATGCAAATGTGTGTGGACTGGACTGTGTGAAATTGAGGCACTCTCTTAAGTCTGGTCCTACTATTCGACAAATCCGATTTAGACAAAAAAATTCTTGTTTGTATTAACTTATTCTAACAACTGAAATCTTTTAATTTAAAAGATGAAATCATTGAGTTTATTTGTTTCTTAACAACAAATGTTAAAACTTATATAAAATATATAGGCCTACAGTATTTGCTCAAAAAAAAAAAAAATATATATATATATATATATATATAGGTCTATAGTAGAATCGATTCGATCTGATGATTTAGTAAATTCCATTTCTTAGATTAGTGTGTTAATTTATGGATTCATTGATCCTAAAATCAGATTCACTTGTCTAATCAAAAACACTACACTCAGAAAATTATAAAAGAAGCCGTACTTTTTAAAAGACGATTGTGGTTATTTATAAAAAAAACGAAAAGTTGTTCATACTACATAAATATTTTATCTACTATGAGGGGGATAATAGATATTTTACTACATAAGTTTAGTAATTAAAATTTTATGGGAATAATTTTACTAATTAATGAGATCATCTGGTGAGAGTTAATTAGGTATATTGACTATAGACTTTTTATTTCCAGAGAGCACAAAAATGAAATGCTATTTTAGCACCACATCCTACACTCAATAACATGGTATTCTTAAAAGTAGCATTCTATTCAACAGCATAGCACCCCAATTTAGTGTTTTTTACCAAAAATAAAAATAAAAAATAGCCATTCAACCTCTCTCTCTCTTCATATACCAAAGTTCATTCCTGATTTAATCAAAAGTGTTTGATTTTTGAACTTGCACTTTCATGCTGTAATTCCGAATTGCGAATACTATATTTTAAAGATTACCAAACTTTCACTGTTAAATATTAATATATGTTCGAATACTAGTGTACCATCAATTCACATCGTTGGAGACAAAGAATATATATTTAGACATAGAATATATTTTATACGATATGATTTTTAGTCTTGTCCTTTTGGTTTGAAGAGAGGTTGGAATGATTGGATCGTCTTCTCTTCTCCCCTTCTCTTCTTCTTCCACAGTTGTCAACTTGAGAACGAAAATAATTGGAGGGATAGGAATAGGAATCTTTTCTCATAAAATTCCCACTTACTAATGTTAAATCACTTGAAACTTAATTTGAAACTTAAAATAGTACTCCTTTAACCATTTGACCAACTTAATCCTAAATATAGTAATTACTAATTATGTCAACATCCTGTCACTAGCTTTATAATTTCGGAATGTTAGAGCGATTCATCAAATGCTTCCTATTTAGAATGATTTTAAAAGTAACTCATATGGTGATCCAAACAAAATTTACAAGACCCTTAATTAAAAGTAACCCTTGTGAAAAAAAAGACTCTTAATTAAAATTAATATTGAAGACGAAGTTGATATGATATGCCGTTAATATTCATCTAAAGTATGTATTTAAAATGCTATAAAAAAACTTATTTTTTGAATTCTTAATAGTAATATATCTAATAATCTGTGCATGTACGTATAACGACATGATTACAACAATATAACGACATGATGTACGTATAATCGGCGCATGTACGTATAACGACATGGTGTTAACAACATTACAACAAGTTTTATGCATCTATATATTAACTCACTTTGCGTGGAATCTCTTTTCAAGAGTCCAATTAAATTGACCAATATTTACAATTTATCGAAAGGACAAAAACACATTCTTACTAGTGATGGTATCAAGTATCAACCATGTGAGTTGATGTCTCTATTTTTCATCAGTACTAAGGTTTTATTTGTAATTTGCAAATTGGCGTGGAATGCTCAAATTATCAAGAATTTCATTTTAAAATAATTGGTTACGGAGACAATTTAATTAGAATTCCATCCATTTTTGTCAATTTTTAATCATAATATTATATTGAAAATTTAAGAGTTTGAGCTAATTCAAAATTGTACACACACAAAAAAAAACGGTGAACAAATAGTAAATTGCAAAAATTAGGGCTTAACTGTACATTCTTAACACGGCGAGCTCTTTACGGTATGTGGAGCCTAGCTCAGCTCGGGCCCCAATAACCTTTCCCAAATCTGAAGCATATTCCACAGAATGTGCCTTTTCAATTTTCCCATTACTTTATGTTTTCGTTTTTAATTGTTTTTTTTTTTTTCAGAAAGGAACGAGGAAAAAAGAAGCCGAAGGAGGTAATGTCTCTCCGAATTTCTAATATTTATCTGTAATTGCGTCTTCTATATATATACACCGAATGAGCTAATTCTAGAATATACGATCAGTTATGTATAACAAACTATAAATTATACAATTCTGTAAATCTAAAGAAGAAAATCATTTTCTACCTGCATCAACATGATAGTTCTGTATAAAACTACACTAGTTATTCAATTGTACTTTTAGTTAGCTTACTACGGTCAGGTTTAATTGTTAAACAACAAAAGATTCCCTAGTCATTTATATCTCTATCTAGATTATATTATTTTTGGCTTTATATATTTCCATTTATGTTGTGAAGATTGTAGAAGACAATAACGTGATGTATATGACACAATGACTCAAATGACTAAAGGTTGATTATAAGTTCTCAACTATCTAAACATTCTAAACATTAGAGTAGGAAACACATTCGATCAGTGATTGAACCAAACCTAAAATAGCTCTTAATTTCCGAGTTTACATAAAATGGTTCAGCAAGATGCCAAAGTTTGAATAATATTATTGTTTTCGTCCGTTAGATATGACGTGACGTGAACATTGATAATCTAACATTTCAAATTTCTGAACGGACCTTATGTAAGTTATGTAGACACAACCAAGAAAACTAGATTTTTTTCGAACACTCTGCCGCTTATTTATTGATTCGGAGCTCATGAGATCGAGTCCATACAATCTAGATGCCTTGTTGCTTTACAATCCAGATGGACTATTAAAATTAGTAGGCGCATCTTTTTATTTCTCAACTTTTGCTTATAATGATTTGTTTGTACGTTGTACTAATTCACATGTCTTATATCATTTTTTATCGTCTACAATTTACACACACATTCTTAGATTTAAACTTCAAGTTAGGATTAGAGGATAATTGTATTCTATCATGTATAGGAACAAAACAATTAGTGAAAAAAAAATCAGTGATTGGATAATTAATATGCTTTAATTAATGAAACTCTTAAAACAGTGATACTACTTCTATGCTGAACTATACTACAAATAGTCATGTCCTACAAGTTCGTTTATATATATTCATAACTAGAATTATCAACAAAATAATAAATGAATAATACTCCAACAAAAACATAACACATAATATGATGGAAATGTGGAAGTGCATAAACCCTAGAATCAGAAGTATGCAGTGAAGGAACTTATCAAACATACATATGCATATATATTGTTAGTTTGACAATAGACAGCTATACATTTGATAAAATATAGGAAAAAAACAGCTGGTGCTATATAGAATTATAAATTTTAAAATTAACTAACGAATATATATTTATATAACGGTAAAATATAACAATATAAAAATAATAGTGGTACCGCTTTCGGCATTAGTAATTGTTACCGTCCCTTATAATTTATACTAATTAGTAACAAAATCAGTCATGCATATAGGGAATGATATAAAGAAAATAAAGACTGGAATATTAATATACTACAGTATAACTTAAACGAGTTTTCCATTGAGGAAGCTCACATATACAAGCAATTACAAGTTTTAAAAGGAAACTCACAGATACAAGCAACAATATACTGACATAATCCGGTCGGTCCTAATAGAACTGACCTAGATACGTCCGCGAACAATTCATCTACCACAACATCCTTTTAAACAACATTTTTTTTTATATAAAATTAAGTATAATGACTCACGATATTGACTTATTGTCACCAATTTTATACTTTTGGGGGTGAAAAAAGATTTGTAGTTAACTCAGTTAACTTATGTTCTATTTTTGAATTATACGTTTCACTTCTTTTGTACGGTTGTATCAGTTACCACCATATAGTTTTCCTTCAATTTCTATTAATGTGAATTAATTTGATAAGTAGCCAAATGGAGAGCCAGAACCGCAAATGAAAAGAATTTTGTTGTGCCGTTTGATTCAAATAAATAGCTTGGCAAATATATATATATATATATATATATGTAAATAACATTATTGTATATATATGTTAAATGCACGTGTGAAATATATGTTATATACAAAAATTCAACTAACTTACTTACTGTAGCTATTTTATCATATTTCGTCTTCAAAAATAAGAATGTATAATTTTGTTATCTAGTGGGTATATACGTTATTTACCTTCACTTGGAGAAGCTTTATGTTAATGTTCGAAAAAAGAAGCTTTAATATTTATTTTTTTGGGGCAAGTAAAAGAAGCTTTAATATATATTCTAACTCGAATTTACATGGATTATTAATTAGTTTTTAAAATAATACTAGTAAATAGAAAAATGCAAGTCTCATTCATCTCCTGCAAAATTTCTTTTACTTTTCTTATCTCTCTAAAAGTCACAAACAGCGACAAACATAAGTCTCTCTACAATGGCGTGTCTATATAAAGCATCTAGGTCGTCGATTCATAACGACCAATCTCCATTACTTCTACATAACCAACCGAGAAACCAAAACAAGATTAAAACAATCTTCGCTTCAGATTCAACACTCGAAAGCTAATCTACAATTCGGACTCGTTTAATTTTGAGGATGAAGCTGATTGAGAAGACGATGAACAAGCAAAAGGAGGAGGAAGATGGAGATGAGATCTTTAGGACGATCGAAGTCGCTATGGTTGACCGGAGCAACGTATCTCCGCCGCCGCCGCAGCCGCCGGCTGGTGATTCTGTTACATCATTGCTAGAGGTTTCCGGCGATGAGCTTAACCTGATTCCACCGTTGAACTTCGCGATGGTCGATAACGGTATCTTCCGGTCTGGATTCCCGGACTCAGCGAACTTCTCCTTCCTCAAGACTCTTGGTCTCCGCTCAATCATGTAAGCTTTCTTGCATTTTCGATCAATCAAGTGAATCTTTTATTTAGAAAACGTCAAGAAATTTCTGAACTTTAGGTTTTGTTCTTGTTGTGTGTTGGGTATGCGAAATGTGTTGAAGATCTTTGTGTCCAGAGGCGTATCCTGAGAACAACATGCAGTTCCTCAAATCCAATGGAATCAGGCTTTTTCAGTTTGGCATTAAAGGCTACAAGGTTTTGTTGTGTCTCCTCCTTTTGATGCTTTAATTTCTTTTATTTTCTTGGCACTTTCTTGCTACTCTCTCTGTTTATAAATGTGCATCTCTAGTTGCTTGATCATTGACTTGCTATGTAATTATAATTTGATCGGCTTCGAATTTGCAGAAGTGAAAGTTGATATCTTAAAATTTGCAGTGTCTCCCAGGATTAGAGAACGAGGTTTGGTTGCATCTTTGGAATTCTAAGCATCAGAAAGAGGGTTCCTACACAAATGGGAATTCGAAAACTTCGGTACTAATCTAATTACTATATTTGCTAATCATAATTTAGAACTGCTTCATCTTTTCTTGAGAGTGGTCATTTGTGTAGGCGTGATATGATTTAGACTAGAAGAAGAGATGGCATTTCATGTGTGGATTGTTTTGTCTTGGACTTGACCCTTTCAGAGATTATTCTAAACCAAATTATTATTATATATGACCTTCCAAGAAAAGCGTACACCATTCTTTTATGCTTTCTTGCTTGGCTCTCTCTCCGTTACCATATACTTCATGGCCCCACTGTTTGTTTTCTTGGCTTTCATCAACTAATACCACCACTTGGTACTTTTACTGTATATATATAAAAATTAGATAATGGGGCTGCGTCAAAAAAAAAAAAAATGCTGAGCTTGCTTATTATTGTCAGAGATCCACTACTCGAAAGTTTTTGCTTTCATTTTGTGTTTTTATTGATACTGTTTTCTTGGTTCATGTTACTTGCGCGTGCACTTTGATGCAACAATGTTATCTTATGTTATCTTGACCCAAAAAAGTGCTTCTTGAGGCCGCACAAGTTGTAGTTGACTTGTCGAAAATGTGTTAATGGTGAAATGATCCACTTATGAACTGGTGGTTGGTATGTATCTAAACAAAGCTGGAAGGGTGAAAGTGATAGATGGTTAAGCTCTATGTCAGTACAGTTGCTGTTGTTTAATACCTACCTACTTGATGTTGCTTGACTCTATGTTTTAGTGGCTTACATTTGGCTATAATGACTTTTCGTTTCAAGGAGATGTTGGCAAACAACAGAAATTAACCGTAGAGTCGTTAACCTAGTTGATAGCCAACCAAAACATGTTACTTTGTTGAACAAGTTTCTTTAACTTGTGATTTGGGCGGCTAGTTCGTTTTATTTGACCTAGATCATTTTCTTATAACCAATTATTAAAAAGACTGAGAGTGTCAATTCTGTTCATATGATTGTTAATTTTTAGATTTTAGACTAAAACATAAGGTAAAGTGGCTGTTCTCGTCTTCTTAGAGTGATTTGAGTAGAAGGATGGAATATTCCACACTCATATTTTGATTAAATCTTCTTCTGGGCTAAGAAGATCCCTTGTGTTGGGTGTGACAACTAGTCTCTGGTCTTCATAGGAAATCATTTTTGTTTTCATTATTGGCTGCTTTTGATTTTGTGGTTATTTTTTTGGCATGTCCCTAACTTTTAACATTTGAAGATAGAATATGCTCCAAAACGCTTTTACAGTGCTCTAGGGAATAGCCATAGATACCATTCTGCTTTCTGATCAATTAGTTCTCGACGAAAGAATATATATAGCCGACACTTTAAATGCTTCATCATAATTTTAGATAAAAAAGATTTTTATTGCTTGTGTGTAAAGCTTTGCTTATTAGACTAAAGACTTACGAAATGAACTGATAGTGTGATGTGTTTTTTTTTTTCTCTCAATTGCAGGAGCCGTTTGTAAATATCTCAGATCATAAAATTCGTGAAGCACTTAAAGTCCTTCTCGGTACGAATCATAAAAGCCCTAATATATTCTAAGAAAAAAAAAACATTAATGTTTCATGCTTTATTTATGTCTAATTAGTCTTTCGTCTTCTTTTTTAATCTTCAGACGAGAAGAACCACCCCCTTCTGATTCATTGCAACCGAGGAAAGGTATGTAAAAAAACTAAATCTCATTAAGACTGAGTTTCATATCTTTGTTCTGTCTCAAAAACAATGGTTATGATGATCATTGCAGCATAGGACAGGGTGTCTTGTTGGGTGCATGAGGAAACTCCAGAAATGGTGCTTGACATCGATATTCGACGAGTATCAGCGATTTGCAGCGGCTAAAGCTAGAGTTTCAGATCAAAGGTTCATGGAGTTATTTGATGTTTCGAGCTTCAAGAATGTTCCAATGTCTTTCTCTTGCTCCAGTAGGTAGAAGAAGAAGAAGAAGATAACAAGAATCATACGTTCTTTGAGCATATTTTTACTTCTTTCTTATTAGTTGAATAACAAAAGGAGAAGAGCAATCAAGAAGAGTGAGTTACAGGAGGAAGATCATCATTCTTCTTGTTTTTGTCTTTGTTTCTCTTTTCTCCTGAATCAATCACTATATAATAACTATAATAATAATTGGAAGAAAGAAGAAGAATATATAGATACATTTTCTTTTGATTCTTTTGTAATGCTAATAATGTAAAAGGATATAGAACAATGTAATGGATCGATGTTCACGAGTCAAATGTAAGCAATTTAGCTAGATAATTAATTATATAGTATAATTCATAATTATATAAATAGAGTTGTTCACTAGATTCTGAAGAAAGTCCAAGCCGGTGATGGTCCCTCCGTTATGTTTTGTGACATTGCTGCTGGGACTTGACGGCGAGGATCGAATCTCGCTGAAGTGAACGGCTCGATCCCGTCGTCGCTTGGGTAAAGGAAGCCTCGGTTAACTTCGTTGACGGAAGGAACGCCTCTGACGGCGGCAGCTCCGAGTCCAGTGGGGAGAATCGAGCTCAAGGGAACAGATCCGTTGAAGAATCTGCAGTATCTTTGCATAGCATCTGATGCGAATTGGAACCAGTTGATCTGAGAATTCCCGAATTGGCTTCGTAAACCGAGGAGGTTATCGATCGAGGTGAAAGGAGCGGTTTTATCGGCGGCGTTGACACGTGTGAATCCGGTGGCTAAGGCGAAGCTCCAGAAAGCTCGAGCGGCGGCGGATTGCTGACGCGTGGCGAATATCGAGCCGCAGAGCTGTGGACCGATGCGACTCAGCTTGTTGTAATCGTCGATGTCTTGAGAGAAGACGTTACTGTACCACTGGAATTGAAAGCAGTCGTCATCGCCGTCGTTGTCGTAGGTGGCGAAGTGGTAAAGCTGGTCGAGGATGATCGGCTGTGATAGGAACCTGTCTAGCGTAATCGGCGTTTGGGTGAAACGCGGAAGCGTTCCACAGATCGGTGAAATCGGGTATGGTCGGAGTGATGTCGAAGAGGCGGCCATTGAAGGAGGCTAGTGACTGGAAGAAAGGGACTAACGGCCCGGGAACCGCACAGCGATTGACGAAATCGAGCTCGTTCAAGATCCGAACGTATTGAAAAGAAGCTAACTGTTTGGAACTGGCGAAGTTACGAAGGACGGTGAAATTCCAGAGGAGGGAGATGTAGAGCTGCGAGACAACCGGAAGCCAGGAAGGAGATGATCGGAGAAACTGGGGAGTGTTGACCATTAGCTGATCGCAGATTCCGAGGACATGGAATAGCATTTGAGCGTCGGGGACGAAAGAGCTGAAGCGTGGGGGGGGTGTACGGTCATGAAAGGGTTACCGGCAGCTATCTCGAGCATGGCCGTGGAGTTAGGAGCGATGTCTCCGGTGAGAATTGGGTTTTTAGGCACTGGGCCTCGGGGTGACCGGTCGCGGCCGACGACAAAGGGATACATTGGTTGGCCGGAGAAACTCACCAAGATGGAAGGCAGATAGACAAAGAGTTTGACTGTAGTAAGTAAAAAGTAACTGTAAATGCTGTTTGTGACTTTCTCTGTGTCACAAGAGTTTGACTCTATTAAATTTGAATTAAAAATGGTGTTGGTAAGTGGACCAAGATTTTGTTTCTCTTGCATAAATTTGTGCATTTGTGTGTGTTCACTGTTCGTCATCAACTCAACATTGTGTTATCTACTGACTAAAACTCAGTCGTTTCCATAACTTTCATTGCTTCCGAGAGGCACTAATGATTTGCAAAGGACCATAAGGTGTAAAAATGCTCTCTTTTTTTACATGGCGAAAAGGTATTTGCAAGAAGAGTGAGTGTCTCGTTCATTCTTATATATAGTATATACATTCATTCGACTGATTTAGGACGCATGTTTTTTTAGCGACAAAACATGAGACTCTGTGCAAAACCTATCTATAGCCTCTAATAACCTATCATTTCCGGTAAAAGTAAAGAATCAAAAGAATAAAGATTCTGCTCTTGACTTTTATGCAAGGTGCAATTTCCTTCGTGTATCGTCACCCTGCGAAAATAATCAAAACCGGTGTAAGAAACGCAGATAAGCCAAAATGAGTTCCGGTAAGAGAAGTAACATTCATGGCACTGAGAGAAAACTCACTGTACGTTGATGACTCTTAGCAGACCTGCCATGTTTCGAGTCTGTAGAGTCTGATCTCGAGGTTCGTCCATGTACTCTCTGTATAAACTCTTGTATGTGATTATATATACTGACAAGTCAAAACCAAAACAAAACAAGCACACACAAACAAATGTCAGAAACTGATCACATAGCAAAGTTTATATAATGTGTGCTGGAAACTACTTTACCTAAGCCGATGTCTGTTACAGGCAGCAAAGAAGGCTACAAACCCGTTCAATATACTCCTGACAGCACGAAAAACCTGCAAAGATGAAGCAAGACAAACACATTTATTAATGACTGAAGTTGCAAAGAATTCGGATTCTTTTTGTATTGCATGTGAAACAGTTAACTGACATGAGAAAATAGGTCGTTCCAAAGTGTACGCCACATGGAGACTTCATACGTCTTCACAGCCGTTTGAGAATCTGATGCAAGCTGCATTATGCTGCTCATATACCGCCATAGATCTCCAACAACATCGAATATGTACGAGAAGGAGAAAGCTAAACCGTTGGCCAATGCAACAACCACTCTGAATGGTGCATATACCACTTCCCATATGATCCAGAACAGAGGGAGTAACACAGTATTTGCTGCAGCATTGAAAAGAAGAAAAGGGTCAGAATTTCGATTATATGCTTAAAGATACGAATAGTCAGAAAAGTTGATGCTTGTTTTACTTACTGACGTTCCAAACTAGTGAGACGACAAACCAAATGGGCAAAAGCACCAATTCCACCACATCCCCAACGAGATTGAAACCAGCCTCGATCACTATCCAAACCACTGAAACCAAGCTCGCCACTGTTTCCGCCAGCGAGTTCCACAACGGTAGGAGCAAACCAAGAACTTCCAAGAGAGGATTTACCAGAGGCATTACGAGCAAAGAAACAAACGACTGCATCGCACGTGCCATGGTCAGAGCCCACTTGACAGCTTTCTGAAAGTTGTGAAGAAACAACATCGTTCCCAAGTACTTTATCCGCGAGACCATGTCCCATGTTTCAATCCAATCAAAGAGTGGCCCGCATAGCCGAGATGCAGTGGCCTTCAGAACGGGGACATTTTTGTACAGGTCATAAAAACCGATCACAACGGTGATGACTGATACCATCACGTATAGTGCTCTGGCGAAAAGGCACATCCAGGGTCGATAAAGATGGCAGAAACCGGGATAAGACTGCAGAAACAAGACCCACGAAGGGAGGCCAGCTTCAAGTAAAGTAAGCAAGCGTATGTCAGCCATTATAACCTCTCGCAATTTGAAGGGGACGTCACGGTCACCGAACCTAACAAGAACTAGGACATCTTTATACTGAGTTGCTTCAATGACGTTCTTCTCCTCAGCATCAGGTACATGGCTTTCCCAGTGGTCGAACGAGTTATCTTTTCTTTTGGGTGTTTCCTCCATATAATCAACTTCAACTCCGGTGCTGATTGCCTTAGTCACTCTTCTTCTCTTGTATGGTCCAGTCAAAGGCGGGGTGTAAGGCTCGTTTTCATCATAAGGCGCAGTAGAATGGTCGACGCTGAAGACACTTCTGGAGCAGCAAGGAGAGTCATTTTCAATAGAAACATTGTCATCATCGTCAACGGGAGAAGCTTTTGAGAAATCCGCTTCAGCGTCATGAAAGACCTCTCCTGAAAGAGTTACAAATACTGTAAGCTTATTTGAGCTAGGGAACAGTGCAAGGTTGAAGCATGCAAGATGTATCACTAGCTAAAGCAAATTTGCCTGAGGAAGATCATCTTCAAATCTAAATCAGAGCAAACGAAGTCCTTTATGAAAAACGGTTAGTACCTATAGTTGTATCAAGATATTCCCTCAAGCAAGACCTTTCAGCTTTTGATCCAGAGAACCACTGAGGCATACTTGCTACAGCTTGATCGATGCTCTCAAACTCCCACCTTCGCATCAACTTAGCTTCAATAGCAAGAGACGTGTCTGTCTACATAAAGACATAGATCAGGTAAGAAACAATAAAAACATACAATGTCAAACCACAACGAGAATGAACAGTTGCCAGGAGTACCTGTAGCTCATTCAAGTAATTGATACCCCTTACATTAGCCCATTCAACTTCAAACACGATAAAACCGTACAGTGTCTTGTGCAGCTGCTTGTTTAGAAACAAAGAGCTCTGCAGTTTCTTTGCGGGTAATTTCTTCTTCGAAAATGTCGTCGCATCGATCAACGAGAACCATTTCTTAAGCTTCTTCAAATTTTTATCGTTAGGTTGTGAACACGCCTCTTTAGGCTTCTTCTCCTCCTCCTCCTGCTTCTGCTTTTTTTTCTCCTCTCGACTTTTCGTGTTTGCAAAAGGGGAGAGCCTGGACTGCAAACAAAGATAGATGAGTCACTTCATCATATATTTTTTTCACCTCAGCGACAACGAGAAATGTATACTTTGAAGCCATCTTTTAAGAACCTTTGTAACCATTAGTTGCCAGAAATGAGCAGATCTGGTGCCAGTATGCAACCATGGCCGGTTGTCCACCAAAATGTAAATCTTTTTACTTTTATTTCCCAGGAAAATACTCAGGTCAGAAAGATATGACTGCAAGTCCCTGAAACCAAACCAAAACACACAAAGCTTAACCAGATAAGCAAATAGCATCAGGCAAATAAAATATGACAATGTAGTTTAGTCTTTCAAAGAAAAACGCAACTATTGTCAGATGAAGTGCTCTGATGAGAAAAAGAGGCCAACACGATTGTAATCGTGAACAAAAAAATCACGAAACTGGACAATAGAATTACTAGAACAGAGTATATTCTACTTCACAGAGATGTCTAAGACGTTAACACCAAGAACTGATACTACTTCAGATTCAGGAAAGGAATTCGATTCGATTCAATTCATTTCAAGATACGAAAGAAAAAACATGCGATTGCTTAAAAGGCAGAGGTGGTTAATATAATTTGACGAAACCAAAACAGATCTTGTTTTGTCTGGAGGGACAATGTAAAACACCTTTAAAGGTTCAGCAATGGCCGAAGTAAGACTTATATAATAGTGGAAAAGTAAACACAGAACAGGAATCCATATTGTCATTTTAACACATAATTCCATATTTATAGCCACAAACTGCAGAATCATTGATCTCTGGATGTGCAAGAATTTGGAATTCGAACAATTCAGCTTCTCTTAATTCGAAAAAAAATAATCGAGAAATAGAAATTAAAAAAAAAAACAAATGGAGGAAAAAACGGCATTGTGATCATAGAGCGAAAGAATTACCCAATCTGGAGACTCGTCAAGGGGAAAACACATTTTGTTTCATCACCATTCCCCATTTAAACCCGATGATTTCACTCTAATCTCCAATTAAACGTCGAATTGACCTCAAAATCACTGCAAAAAAACGAACAAATTAGTTCCAAATAATTCGTCATTATCGTACTCCACCCGAAACACAATTGAATTCACCACAGAGGTGAAGCAATTACCGTCGAAAATTTCTAGAAATAAATGGCGGATGGTAAAAAGACGACATAAATGCAGGGAGATTTGTAAAAACTGTTGAATACTTAATAGACAAGGAAACTCTGAAATTCAAGGTTAAAGAAACTCAGGCGATTAATCAAAAGATAGCTCCATTTCGAACAATTCGAATCAATACCGACCGCCGGCGAACAGCAACAACCGGGGAAATTGGACCACGCGGCAACAACACGGATCAGAAAAATTCTAAATCACCATTAATGTAGCAACAATCGCCAAAAAAAAAAATTTGAGGAAAGTAGAAACAGAGGCTTGTCGCCAAAAAATCAATAAATCCTGAATTTGAAATTTGAGAGAGAGAGAGAATTTGGGTTTACTTGGAATGGAAGAGGAGGTGACGAGAGAAGAATATCTCTCCGAAGACGTCTCAGAGGAAGCAGAAGGGTAAAACGGTAAATTTGTTAGCCGAGGAAGACGGAGAGAAAGGGGCTGTGTGTTATGGCGCCAGGGTCGTCGGTTTTTTATCTCACCGGAGGAGCACGTTGAAGAGAGACAGAGAGCTTATGGAAGATATATACACACGCGTGGGATAAGGTCCTTCAATGGCAAGCGCGTGTAGGTTTTTATTTTCTATGAATTACCCAAAGGTCCTTTAAGTTTTGATTTCTCTCAAAGAGCCGCATAAAAAAGGAATGGATCTCTTTATTATTTAATGAAGAAATAAAATCTCATAATTATATCTTTAAATATAAAATTATTATCTCGAAAGAAAAACTAAATAAAACAACAAATTCATAATTTTAAGACATCTACTTTTTAATAAATACAGCATTTAAGACATGAAAATAGGTGTCGAAAGTGGGAAATTGACGCATGGGAAAGAAGAAGACAATGAGATGACATTTTATTTTTTAATTTAGGGCTCTTGGTATCTTGAAGAGTGTATCATCGTCATTTAAGTTGTGAGTCATACACGAATATTCATCTCCTGTGGGTGGATACATAAATTGCTTGCAGATATTTCCTTCGTTTAATTAAAGTGCACGCATCCGAAATAGTCTTGAAAATTGAAATTTCAGAAAATAAATTCTCTCAACTTTTGGGAAGAATTAGTAATGTAAAAGCAAAAATTGGGAAATGGGTTTAAAGTTTTAAACAGAGACGGAACCTAGCAAATGGCATATGCTTTTGAAAAAATGGATGAGAGCGTTGAACTATTTATTTTCCCAACATAAAATATCAAATTATAATTTTTCAGTTAGAGAAACTAATTTATGGGATAAATGGGGTTGCCACATAACGAGGATGAATGCAACTGAATAATTAGTAACAGAAACTTGTGTTTATCGTCAGCAAAATAATTCAAAAACTCAAGAGCATATGCATTAGTCATTAGATGATCATATACAAAATGCAAAAACAATAAGAAAGAGTTTGGTATTTGAAAGGGGCACGCGCTTTGGCGCGTGAGGATATAGAGTGGGCCATTACCAAATCAAAATTTGGACGTATGTGATCGATTCTGTTTTCGAATACAAAATACATGAAAATGCAGAGAGCTCGTGGTGGGGTCCTTAACGCCGCTTTATAATTTTATCTACTGGAAGCTACATTACATAATAATTGAGAGAAACCAGTGCAAGTGAGGGATGTTTCTCGATAATATCTATAAACCTATCAGTGTTGCATTATTGCAAAAAAAATCACGTTACATGCATTTTTAGTATAAAACAACAAAATTGTGCTTACCCTCTTTATGAATTTTGACATCGATCACACAATTTCAACTACTTATTTGATTCCATGTAATAATTTACGAACGAACAAGTTCGACTAGCTTGAAATGAACTAGTTATAAACCGATTTAAAAAGGGTGATGTAGATTTTTAAATTCTATGGGGATCGATTTTAAGAAGAGTCGACAGTTATATATGGATATGGTTTTAAAACGACCATATTATTCATTTTGTCATTTTGACCAATTCTTTTTTGAACATGATGCGTAGTAAACTACTAGTAATTAATATGAGTGGACTATTTAAAGATCAATTAATGTTGATGGTATTTGCAAATTGCTATACAATTACTATGTATAAATAAGAAAAATATATATAGTAAAATTCAACTGGCATCTCACAAAAATTAACATTGAATGGAAACTAATTTTATCATACTAGTCAAGATAGAAGATCAATTCCCATTGTGTATTTGTATCAAAGTCAATGCATAATTCATTTATGGTGTGATTGCAATTCTAAATTTGATTTTGAGTTGTAGTCTATTTGCTGTTGTTACCAGACAAAAAAAAAGAGTTAAGCGGTGACTAGTATTTGCCTCTAAGATTTTGATAACAATAATGTAGTTTGCCTTTAAAGTTTTCCTTAATACACATCTACTTTTAGACCAGACCAGGCTATGTAAGTAGGTTGCTAAATATGATTAGGTGCGGTTCTCGATCAAACTTGTCTTAAATTCATGGTCTACACTCGACAATAATACTAGACTATACGAGGAGTTCATAAGTGGAACGCGCTTTGTGCTTATGAATTTAACTTAATTTAATTTATTTATAGACCCATCTTTACTTAGATTTAGGGTTCTCCACTAAAACAGATTCAAACATGACATAACCATTTCACATAAATTTTATGATAGTTGCTGATTCTTTAATCATATGAAACGAACACTTGCAATTCGTAGATATAATATCTAAACGGAGAAATTCAACAGCACCTCACCATTTTTTTTCCACAAAAGAAACTGTAAAAAGCTTAACACATTCGCTTAGACATTACAATTGGATAACCAAAGTTGAACTAATATACACCATTTTGTTTATCTAATTTCAAATTTATCTCAAAGATTTTCAAATAGAGTAAAATCCATAAAAGGACACCAATGTTGATAGAACAAAAACTCAATCAAATATTTAAAACCTCAAGCAAAAGCAACACCACCTGACTAAACGCTACTCTTCTTAACCGAAGGAGGCCAAGATAGTCTCCGGTCAGCTTGACCATTCTCATGGTTATTACCATCTTCGTCTGCATCATTCTGATCATGGTTTTGTCGTCTGGTGTTCTGAACAGCTAAGTCGTCGAAGCTAGAATCTGTTCTCCCTTGAGGTGGAGTCACACAATCTGAGTCTCTATGTGACATTTCGTTACCTCCTGGTGTTGTTGGCAAAGAAGCTGCAGAGTTACCAACACGAAGATCTTGAAGAGTCGCGAATGATTCTCTCATCGCAGACATTGCCTCAAAGAATCTCGTGCATGACGCTAGTGCTACCGGTATTGGACGCAGCATTTCCTATAATTTGTCGGGACAAAAAAAAGTTAAGAAGTTTGAGAGCATAGCAAGTAAAACCAAAATAAAGTGTTATGCAACACATTCCATTACACTAGCAATCTCTTTCCCTCTTGATGCACAGAGATTACAACAGTTCAATCTTATGCAATCCTTTGATGACACAATGGGTCTGTTTTTATAGGTTACAGAGAGAATCCTTCTACAATTTTTCTATGAATTATATACGGTTTATGTGATACAATCATAGCATGACGTAGTGTAAACTAAGATGCATGTAAAAGAGAGTAAAATCATACCCCCCAGACTGAAGGAGGTTCTTTAAAGTTTTGGCTCCACTGAAAATCAGACACTGATGCTGTTAAGGCGCCATAATCACTGGCGGCTTTCATTAGCAACTCTGAAAATTGTTTCTGGAAAAACAGAACAGAAGAAAGCCATTAGGGAAAAAGAAGCTTCTTTTCCCAGTTTCAGATTACGACTCAAGTTTAGGATAACTAGAGCAATAAGGTTTAGTCGGTCCTCAAAGTAGCAAATACTGTCCCAAATGATCACCTGATATTCTGCTTCAACTGGAATGCAATCTAGCGAATAAGGTTGTTGTAGACGAGCAATGATGCGATCCTGTTATATAAACAGAAAAATGATGTAAACAGGCGCTTCAATTAGAGGTTCATGAATTTGAGAAAAAGATAAAAGAGTCTAAGACTCCTTCAGAAACTAATGCACCCAAAATATCTAAAGCAAAGAACTCCAATTCCTCAATTTTCAGAACGATAAAGTAGGTACTGAATAAAAGGGAAGATTTTAGAAGTAATGGAGAAATCGTGTACCTTGTTTTGTATAACATCTTTCAATATTTGAGTAATCCTTGATAGAGTCTCGATTTTCTTCTGCATCTCACTCACATGAGTCAAATGTGCCACATTTTTATCATCCTGCAACCAAATTGTACACAGAGCATATAACAAACCCCGTTTCAGGCAATGCAGATTTTATATATAACCCGTAACTTATTTCACTTTGAAAAGAGAAGCAATCCCTCACGATGGTACCTTCCTCCCTTGAAGCTCGACCTGCAAATCTGCAATTTTCCTCTGAACAGCAGATAACTCTCTCAAGACCCTTATCAAATCATCACCTCTTTCGCCATTAGAAGACGCCAAGCTTTGTAATTCTTCCTACATTGGAAATGACTGAGATCATAAAGTTCGATTCAATATGCATTACAACTAAACCACCACATTGTTGACTGAAGAAGCTGCTTGATAATGAATATGAACAGGACAGGACAGATTCAGATTCAATACTCTAAGCCCAGAGATCAAGAATTAGAAAATTCGGTGTAGAGATTCGCAAAACTCACAAGCAGCTAAAAATTCACCGACTCCTCAGAAACATAAGCTCGTTCAAATTTACAGATCTCATACCCTTTGTGTACTCCAAGTCAAATCTAACAGCAACATCCAACGTATATACTATATACTCAGCTTATCAAAAGTAATGTTGAAACGAAACTCCGATACTTGTGAAAATTTTAATTTGATAGCTACGGCATCAGAGAAGCGATTGGTAGAGTTACCTGCGACGGAGGAGGAGCGACAGCGTAACCGAGATCGGAGGCGATGGAGAGAGCGTCGGATAATCCACCGATACGCCTGATCGGCTTCTTCCCGACCCACGTCGAGTCGCTTCCCATCGACATCTCTACACAAGCTTTCCGATGAAAAACTTCGGCGGTGAAAGATCCGGGATGTTTTCCGAATTCTGGTAAGTGGGAAAATAATAACAAAATTCAAAATAATAACAATGTCGATAAATCGATTTTAAATGTAGCAGAACAAAACTTAGAAATGACTCAACGTATAAGATAATTTTATTATGCAAAAAGGTAAAATTTGTTGATTAATTTCACCGATATAGTTATACACAATAAATTTCTCTTTTTATTTGTTTTAATAATACCCATGTTTGTTTTTACTGTTGATTTTATTATTCGATTACCATACGATTTATCTGCACAAAAAACTATGAGAATGGGTAATTGACACCAAGGATCTTACCGCCAATGTCGTCTCAAATAATAATGGGTTTTTAGCCCATGTATATATATAACGGCCCAACATGGTCACTGAAAAAAATTATTTTTCAAAACTATTCGGTTTTGGTTCAGTAACTCTTGTTTTCAAAAATAATTCTTTTTTTGTTCAAAAATAATTTTTGTTTCGAGTTTTCAAAAACTAATAACCGAATCCTCTGAACCAAAACCAAACTGAAAATCAATATTTGGAAATTTGACGTCAATTAGAAAAATACATAGTACATACTCCATACTTATGCTATATTAAACATAACACAAATCATAACATAAACTAGAAAAAAAAGATTGGAGAAAGAAACAAACATTTGATAGATAGACAAACCATTGAATGAAAAAGTTGGTTTACACATGCAAGAGATTACTTCAATGTTTTTTGTCGAATTTATTTTTATGGAAAAATTTACCTATATATCATAGTTTCAAGATTGGAAGACTGGCTTCTAGAGCCAAGTTGCTTTGGCATACTTATAAAAATCATTGTCAAAATTATGAAATTGTGCCACCATTAAATATACATCTGATTGAAGATACAAACTTTTCATCGTCTTAAGGAAGTCATTGTCTCCGTTAATGAGCAATATGTATTTCTTCTTTTAAACGGTAAGAAATTTTAAGTACATCTTCATCATCGCATGTACATCAGTTTCATAAATGGTCTGTTATGAGAAATGTAGAAAAACCCAATTTCATAAGCATGTTTATATAAACATGTTAATTAAAATTATCATTATTGCTAGCTATATTTTTGTGAACAAGATTGAAACATCTAGCTTCTCCACACTTCATATTATAATCTAGTTCATTATCAGATTACAATTTCTTTTTGATATATAACTAGGAGTTAAGTCAAAAAAAACTTCTTAAAATTTCCTTTCACTTAACTCCTCACCGGTATTCTATATAAACGTCCACATCGATTCTCTTCCTCTTTAGTTATGGTTTTCAAATTCTGAGAATTTAATTAATTTATAGTTTACAATAGATACAGCTTTGTAATGAATATAATTAACTCTTTGCATGTTATTGATCATACATTCAGCTCATTCGTAGAATCCATCTTCAAAAGTTGTCCAAAAAGTGTACCAATATTTTTGGAGAAATATTTCATGGGGCTTCGTTGCGTTTAGTGGATCTACAAAGAAAATAGTCGGTATATAATTTTGATGAGCTAGTACAATAATTTTAATCAAGTAGAACAAAAATGTCTTTAAAAATATATTTTCTTCCCAAATGCAAAGTTTCAAAACGCTTGGATTTAATATTTAATTTCAAAACTAAACATAAAGTTAATTAAGCGCATATATATGGTGTGTGATTGTGTGTGTGTAAATTTGACCCAAAAAGTATGTGTTAGTATTTCATCTCAAAAATTATAACTAAACCCACTTAATTTCGGGTTTTAAATCCGAATCAAACTCAGATATTTCAACTTAAAATCTAAAACCAAAATCCACATTGAAATGGGTTTGATTCGGTTTTAATCAAATTTAAAGTCTAGTTTTATTCAAGTAATCTTATACCAAATTGAGAAAGAAAGAAAACTGAATTAGACCTATCAAATCAAACCTTCTAGTTTATCGACAAAACAAGAACATAGTTGCTACCAAAAAGAAACTCTGATGGGAACAAACTAAACCGAAATATCCGATTTATAATTTAAAAGGTTTAGAAATGGACCGAAATATTTGAAAAATGTCAGCGCTATTAACCGGTAGAGGGAAAGGAATAGGACTTGAAAAATTAAAATAAAACCAAATCGAGAGCACCGACCCAAATTAGATTAAACCGGAAAATAACTATGCCTAGTAAGTCACGCTGTTTGCAAGGCAACACGTCCATACGACACTACTGCCAAGTGCCTTCCCCTCGACAAAACCAAGGTCGGTTTGGTTCTAAGATTACGACTTTGAGATCATTTTTAATCGAATAATATTGTAGAGATTTAGCGAGTTAGAGATGTCTTTTGTATGTTGTGAGCTATATATATTTTGTAACAATTCACTTCCTTTTACTGTGTGGTTTAATTATGTAACAAATAATAACTTACACGTCTTATAAGGATTTTACTGCCAGTGTGGTCTCAAAACACTAATGGGTGACACGGCCCAACATGGTCACTGAAACATACGTTAGGGAAAGAGACTATGGACAAACGTTAACGCCCATTTGAGAATTTTATATGAGTTACATGTACAAATCGTTACTTTGGGAGTTAACATGCCATTCCCGGGAACTAAGCCATTTTTCCCACCCTAATTGTAGCAATAACAAATTTGTTAATTGGTCGCGGCACGTTTATTAAATGTGTTAGCGAAGTAGTATCGGACCGTCGGTGGGAGATTATGAATATTTGGAACGTCTAAAAAGATTCGACCTAAGAAAGTTCTTCTCTTTACCTTTTGCTTTGTAGTTGTAGAAAGACTCTTTTATATAAAGATTTGACAGATCTGGTCATTAACTAATAATGTCATAACTAAAATATTTAGGATTTTATTGTTGTTTTACTAAAGTTGAATACATCCTGCATTTATAATTCCTTACAGATTTTATATTCGGGTGGCCAATGTTCTGCATGGATTCCTGAAAAAGGGTGTTGTGAGAACAAAAAAAAAACACTATAATAGAATTTTTACTCGCCGACTGACTCTTGATCATTGTCATGTTATCAACTTTATTATCATCATCAATCTTTAAGGTAAATGTGATCAGTTGAGCTAGGCCTGAGCATTTGGCTTAGTGAGACAATTAATTTCGATGGGTGATAAAATAAAGATTCGTTATGAGGAGACAAACAAGCAAAAGGGAGTTTGATCAAAAGTGATCAATTACTATGGTAACAACTTAATTTCCTAAACATAACGATCTTAAATTTAGCTAGCGACTTAAAATGTAATTGGATTTTGAAGATTCCACGTTTTAATGTGAATTTTATCAACGGCTTGACGATCATTTTGTTGCAAATAAAAGTAAAACTAACTAAAGAAGATAGTGAATATGTTTTATTTTTTTTTACAATATATATTATTATTGTAAATTAATTTGAAGTTCAGGTATTAATTTGGTTGGTCCATATATATGTTTTTTATCACAAATCGAGGCTATCGAGCATTTGGCAGTACATCGACTTTTCCTAAAGGCTAAAGAATATTCGAACTCAAGACACAAAAAAAACTCACTCTCTCCCAAAAGATATATTTACTCACCAAATGAGCTAACCAACCATACATGGTAAAAATAAAATAAAAACATTGTATAATAAGTTAACTATTCTATTACTATTAGAATTTCTTCATACGATCGTAGGTGGAATAGTGTAAGCTTCGTTGTAGTGTGAGGGCGTCGGTGATGAGCTGGAGAAAATTATGTCATGAAAAGACACGTGGCACCCAATCATTTGGTAATACTTGAGTTTTTTTTGGAAAATGGAATGAAGAACCCACCAACGACAGCATTATTAATTCCGTAGATTTGGAGTTAATTGAGCCGCTTTGCTTCCCGCGCGTCGCACGAACCACACACCAAAATTTGCTTATATAAGCGAATAAAGTAGTCTTTGTTTTTCATATAAACAACGGAAATAGTCGATTCTTCACATTTTTTTTTGTAACGAAACTTTTTCAAATGTTCCGGAAATTAAATATAAACTTTGACTTATAAGTTATCAATTATGTACATGAAAAAAAAAGTTCTGTTTCTCAGCAGTTGTTGTATAGTAGTGTAATGACAAACAAATAACCAAATGTTCCCCGTTAACAACCTTTCAAACATTACGTCTCCATGCTTAGTGGCGCTAATTACCTTTTGGTTGCTTAAGTCAAAGTGTTTTGACCAAGTTGTCGGTCGAGGCTCGAAGGTAACAAACGCTGGACCCACTTCAAAATGTCGGTGCTCGGAAAAAATAAACCGTATTAACCGGTTATCTCTGAAAAACCTGAATTACTGCGAAATTTATGGGTGTAGGAACTTGCACACGTGTAGGTGTCTCTTAGTGGCATACCCCTCGGTTTTATTTGCTGGTGGGGAAACTACATATACTTACTTTAGATATCCAGCTCGATCTTAAACCTGACGATTAATTTTGTCGACTAAAATACATGACGTTCTTATAATTATGAATATTGTTTGAATTAGAGATTAAGAAATGAAAACAATTTTGTTACTCGTCGTTGTCATTGTCATATATGGTTTCTATATATGGGATTAAGATCCAATATCCATCATGACTTTTTTTCTTTCGGAATTAGAGTTTTCCGTTCAAATATAAAAAGAGATGAAATGTATTAACATTCATAGATATATTATATGGATACACATTTGAGTTTAAGTACATACATAACGGACCCACATTGTGGAAGTTTGTGAAAAACTAAGTTTTTTGTCTTCTTAAGTTTTTGTTTTGTTTCACAATTCATGATCGTGGTTGACATAAAAAAAAAGTATTGTAGGGAAGTAAATAACTATATATAGTCAAGGAAACTGTTGAATGAACAGCAATTGAAAAAATAATAGTGATTCGGGAAACATAACTAGAATGCTTTTTTTAATGCATGTGAAAACTCTGAAAATCAGTTTTTATGAAATAGCTGCAACTGGAATGCGTTCTTATTAGAACATTTTACATATTCTTTTTTTTATTGGAAAAAGAAAAGCAAATCCTTCTTAAAATTTATTTCTTTCATTCTATCTTCTAAATAAAGTTCAAAAAAATATATATATAGAAGAATAAAAAGAATGAAATGAATCTATTATATTAAAAGAGAATCCAATTTAGAAAAA